GTTGTTGGGGGCGATATGCTGACTCTGTAAACCGCTTAGAGAGGGCTGAAAGCCCTATGAAGCGGTATATAAGTCTAACTGCTATTGCTATAGACACACACAGCCAGGGTAATTCTGATTTCACACCCTGCCAAGGGAGAAGGGTAGGCCTTCACTGCAGGGACTTCCACTGAACGAAATGGTCCTCCTTGACCTTCTAAAAGAGGAATACAACTGGTAGCTCCAAACCAATGAAACCAGGATGCAAAATGTTAAGGCTGCTGTCCTTTGGCAAAGGAATTCTCTTTTTTAATGTATTGTTTTGTGTGATACAGACCCATTTGCCCATCATTATTCCAGGAGTCCATTTTTTAAAGAAAAAGAAATCAAGGGAATCAAGGTTCCTGAACTCAGAACCAACACCCCCGGCCTCCTTCAAGACGCCGGACTTTCGATTCTGTCTTCCGCATGATTCCAATGGCGCTAGGCCTTCCCCTCATCTCTGAATCCCACCCAAAGGCCTGGGACATCTCTCCGCTCCCTTTTCCGAGACCCCTCATGCAGTCTTCCCCAGCGTAAGTGGCAGTGGCTGGTTCTTGCCTGCCTCCATGCCTTCTGCTTTCAGCCACTCCATCTTCTGTTGGTGCTGCTGAACCGCATCTGCCACGCGGTTATCAATCATGGCTTCTGTCAGGGTACCATCTTCCGAGGCGTAGGCTGCGGCCTAGGGAGGGAAGAAGGCCTGGTTATTCCTAGCTTGAAGTTGAAGGTGGTCCTTGACTTACAACAGATCACTTAGCGACCATGCGAAGTTAGAACGGCATTCGAAAAAGTGACGCATGACCCTTTTTCACACTTATGACCGTTGCAGCATCCCCATGGTCACGTGATTTACAATTTGGACTGACTGTCAGAGCGCACACAGTGTAACGATGTGAGGCAATCCAGGAGCAAATACGGTAAACAGATGTTTGTATTTAAATCGTGGCTTTATCTACAAAGAATATATACATACACATACTTTAGTCAGACCTCAAACAAACAGCAATCAGCAATTACAGCATGGAAGCATACACGGAGAGGAGATGTGCCCCAACAGGGCCTCTTCTAATTATAGGCTCTTAAAGTGATATCAGCCCAAAAATCTTGCTGACTCAGTCCCAGCATTACATCATCGTAGCAGCTGGTCAGCTCTTAAATCATTACCCTGACAACTAACTCACATTTATGACAGCTGCAGTGTCCTGTCAAATGCCTCATCTGCGGCTCTTCCTTCCAGGGCATTCTCACATACAGTACCCATTATATCCATGTTGTTTGTTACAAATGCTTTTCCATGGCCACAGAAAACAGCGGAACGCAAATTTAAAGGAGTCATTGACTAGATCTTCCAAGTTAGAGAAATAAGTTCTTCTCTCAGAGCACCACCAGTATTGACACCAGTATTAAGACTGTTCTGACCCAGCTCCCTAAACAGGACAAACAGCCTGACATGAACTCAAAAGGTCCCTTTAAGAGCTCCAGCAGCCCCGGAAAAAAGTTTCTCTCGCAGGCTAACAAGTCCATCCGTCCAGAAGATTCATCTCCGCCCCCTGCCTTTATCCACAGAACTAGGGTGGGGCTTCATTAGCAGTGGCAGCTCTTCCATCCCAAGGACCTGCCCATAGATTTCCACTGCTCTCCTCTCCTCTGCCTTCCGCGCCATCAGGCACTGGATCCAGTTGTTCCTCCTCTTCCTCATCAGCCATCTCCAGACCTGGAGGTTGTTGACTCTCCATCTGAGGGCTGATGGATGGCCCATGCTCTGCCTCTCTCTTTCTCTTTCTCTCTCTCTCTGCCTGCTCCATCCCCTCTTCCCCCGCAGAGTTCTCAGGTTGCCTTGAGGCTGACACTGATTCCCACGCCTCTTCCTCCTCTGATTCAGCTGCTGGAGGCCACACAGACTGAGCAAGGCACCTTTCTAATATGAGAAGCCAAGCCCCTTGGCAACTGTCTGCTGTGCTTTCTGGACAAGATTTTAGATGTGCAGATGTAGAAGCTAGCTGCCAGAATGATAAAGATTTCTGGAGATCAGTATATAAAGAACCCTTTGCAAATTTTCTCCACTGTCAATGAAAATAAACTGGTTTTCAGCAAGACTGCAAGAATCTTGTGGTTCCTTTCCGTTCCACAAAACTCTCGTCGCTAGGCTCAGGATGATGGGGCAGGTGATCCAAACAGGGTCCCTTTTTTGATCCTTACCTGCCAAGCCACCGCAAGCTGTGAGATCTCCCGTCCAGACATGCCTTCCGTCAGCTTGGCAATTTCCGAGCACTTTTTCCCGTAATCAAACTGGGCCAGTTTTAAGCGCCTGGGTGCCAAATAAAAAGCAGATGAATCAGCCACTGTAGGAAAGCTTTGTTCCCCTCTCCCCCCTCATTCGTTTCGTTTTTAATTTTCCACTCGGTGGGAAATCAGAGCCTGCGGGCCGTATGGGGAAGGAGGAGGCAGACGCTTTGGCCTCTTCAGAGCCCTAATTTGGGGTTGCGTTCTCCATGCTTCCTATTTTCTCTGGTGGTTCCTCATTTGGGGTGAAAAATACTCTGCGCTTGCCACCCAACGTCAGATGCAAAGATTCAGGATTTCTTAGGTGGCCTTATAGGGGATCTATTCAAGTCTATTTGGTTAACACTATGCTGGCGCCAGGTAAGAATCAATGGGATTCAGGAGAGGATGGACTTGGGATGCTTGTGGGAACGCAGCGACTCTAAGCTGATGACACGCTTCACTCCGCCACCCCCAGCTTTGCCTGCTCTTCTGCACCCAAGTTTTACAGGTACTCCTTGATTTACAACAGTGACTGAAGTAACAATCATCTTCATTGAATGACCCCATCATCCCTTGTGGGGTGGAATCAGGGCAACTGAATGGAACTAGCAGAGTTTTTACTGGCCCGATGCCTTTCCTCACGCCAATGCGGAGTTTTGTTCGGCAGATAATATTCTCATTGTACCCCGAGAGAGAAATATCTGCCTCTACCTAGGATCAAACTCACAGGCTCCTGATTGTGAGATAAGAACTCTAGGCCACCGCACCACTCAGTGACTGAAATAACAACGTCACTGAAAAAAGGGACATGATTGTTTTCCCCACTTATGACCGCTGCAACATCCCCGTGATCACATGATCAAAATTTGGATGCGTGGCAACTGATTCATATTTATGATAGTTGCAACGTCCCGGGACTGTATGATCCCCTTTCGTGACCTTCTGCAACTGCAGTGATTCACTTAACAACTGCCACAAGGAAGGTCATACAATGGGGCAAAACTCACTTGACAACAGATTAGCGAATTTAAGAACGGCCATGATTCAAATGTGGCGAGAAAAGTCGTGAAATGGGGCAGGGCTCACTCAACAAAAGAAATTTCGGGCTCAACCGTGGTCACAAGTCGAGGACTTGCTGTATTAGAATCAGAAATGAACTTGAAAAGGACAGAGCCCAATCTGCAATCCCTTCCTGTGGTTCCCATCAGGGGTGAAATGCTCTGATGTCTGCTACCGGTTCGCTTCAGGCGTGCATGCCCACCGTTTGACAGAACCGGCAGTAAAACAATGCTACCTGCTCAGCCGAACTGTTAGCATTTTTTAAAATACAGATTCAGGCAAACCAGTAGCATTTTTTAAAATACAGATTCAGGCGAACCAGTAGCATTTTTTTACTACCGGTTTGGGCGAACCGATCCGAACTGGTAGCATTTCACCCCTGGCTCCCATCCCCTGTATCTCTTACGATTAGCAACCAGAGGAAGAACATCAAGTTCTGTACTAACTGCTTGCCCTCGGTGGCTGGCTGGAGGATGTGCTTGTCGAAGTACATTCGGACCAATCTCTCCCGCTCGTCTAAACCTGGCAACTGGAAGTGGACCATCTCATCAATCCGGTCGTTTATGGCCCAATCAAATTGTTCTGGCTGGTTGCTTGCTAAGACCAGCATGAACCTGCAAGGAAGAAGAAGAAGATTGAGAATTGGAGAAGGGCATACCCACAATTCCTGAGCTGGTGGGAAAAAAACATAGAACAAAAACTTAATTGTCACCATGAACGTACACTCATCAGTATACATTAAATTTAAATTTCCTTGCATTCAGCTCTCAAAGGATAACCATGAGACCCACATACACATTAGGCGAGATGGAGCTAGTTCCCACAATTATGTTTTAGCCTCCAGACCCCTAATCATCTTTGTTTCTCTTCTCTGCACTCTTTCTAGGGCAGGGGCTGGCAACCCGTGTGGCTCCGGAGCTGCATGTGGCTCTTTCATCCCTGTGCTGCGGCTCCCTGTCGCCAATCAGCTCCACAATTGGTAGGGCTTTCGGTTAGGACAGGCAGAGTAAAAAGGCATGCCGCGCTAGGACGAAACTCTATGGTGGGGGAACAGGACTTCCAGTCAGCTCCAGAATTGAACGGGGGGGCTTCTGGTTAGGACTGTTGTGGCTCTTTGAGTATTCGAGGTTGCTGACTCCTGCTCTAGGGTCTCACCAACTTTTCTTTGGTGACCCAAACTGGGCACAGTATTCCAAGTGTGGCCTCACCGTCAAGCACTACTATCACCTCCCGTGATCTTGGAAACTATCCCTCTCTTGAGGCAGGGGAGGATGGCATCATCATTCCCTTAATGGCGGGAAGCGGAGGCACATCCCATCCTTTGATTTTATGGCAGTTCTCTCGTGTCTCCATTCCCCAGGCTCTTCTTTGACAATGGTGTTGCTTTTGGATTGTTGTTGTTTTTTTAAAGGCTGCTGACGACGACGCTTTTGGTTTAATGGTGCATTATGAATCGAAACGGAGTTTTGGATGGCAATCTGGGAGGATTCAGCACTTTTGGGGATAATTGCAATTCAACGTTCAATTCCTGGGGGCCACTTTTTGACTCCCCCCCCCCGATAATACTTATGGCTCCCGCTGTCATTTAAAGGGAACAATTTAACCCGTTGTAGACATTTGCTGTTCCCCGTCCCCCAATACTACCCTGTTTTCCCAAAAATAAGACCTCACCGGATAATAAGCCCAATCGGGCTTTTGAGCGCATGCGCTAAAATAAGCCCTTCCCCAAAAATATTACAACAGAGCAGCAGCCATGGAGTGACCACACTTGCCACCTCCTGCACCTTAAAAGCAATAAAACCTCCTTGAAAATAAGACCAAGTGCTTATTTCGGGGGTCAAAAGGTCTTATTTTCGGGGAAACACGGTAATCAAGATTTTCCTTCACGTTGCTGTTTTCCTCTTAGGAATTCTCCGAGGTTGGCAACCGGCATCCTGGATGGAGGGTGGCTACCAAAAGCATCCTGCTTGTTAGAAATGCAAATCCAAACTCTTAAGAGGAGTTGTATGATTCATGATAATAAAACAAAAATGATGGTGTGTGGACGCACAGGGACAAAGCTGGAGTTTAATATTCTTTAAATATTTTTCTTCTAAAAAGGTCTTGCAGAAGATCTGTTGCAAACTTTGGACCATTTTAACAGCTCAGAAAATATTTTAATTTATTTACAATGATATGCTGCCCGTCTTACTATCCGGTGACTCTGGGTTTAGACATATAGTACATGAGCCTCAGTGGTGCAGGGATTAAAGTGCAGTATTGCAGGCTACTTCTGCTGACTGCCGGCTGCATGCAATTTCGCCGTTTGAATCTCACCAGGCTCAAGGTTGACTCAGCCTTCCATCCTGCTGAGGTGGGTAAAATGAGGGCCCAGATTGTTGAGGGCAAGAGGCTGACTCTGTAAACTGCTTAGAGAGGGCTGTAAAGCACTGTGAAGCGATATATAAGTCTAAGGGCTATTGCTATTTTTCCTTCTTCCCTTCCCAGTGGTTAGAATGCAGTATTGCAGGCTAACTCTGCCCAGTACCAGGAGTTCGATCCTGACCGGTTCAAGGTTGACTCAGCCTTCCATCCTTTCGAGGTGGGTAAAATAAGGACTGACTCTGTAAACCACTCAGAGAGGGCTGTAAAGCACTGTGAAGTGGTATTTAAGTCTAAGTGCTATTGCTATAGGCAGTCTAATTTGAGCCTCTAGTGGCAAGCCGGATCATCTCTCCTTGAAATCTTTTCCGGGAATAACTAAAGCTGTCCATCTGGAGTTCCAAGCTCCATGATTCCCAGCCAGTGGGATTGATTGAAATCCTGTCAACATTTGGTACTAAAGGAGCAAAGGCAGGGAGGCCATTACAGAAGTTGTAGGGCACTAATCAGTGCGTGGACAAGATGATCTTTTAAGGTCTCTCCCCCCTCTAGGATTCTGGGACACATCGGTGGGTTGTTTAAATCTGGTTCTAAGGCAACTCTCTCTCCCATTCAGAGACAGGGTTATCGCCAATTCTCCCCATCTCTCAGAGAGAGGAAACCAACCCAACAAACCAGAATTAATTCTGGTTCTACAGTAAATTGATCTTCTAGAACAGGGGTATCAAGCCGCGTCCCGGGCTTGCCACAGCGGGGCAGGGAGGAGCACGGGTGACGGGGGATGTCAGGACCGCCATTCTCTGCAACCACGGAGCACCACTGACAGGGAGGGGTGGGACAGCTGCAGCAGCGATGGAGACGAGTCAGCCGTGCGGCGGGGAGGCGTGGCGAGGACGTCCGCTCCTAGCCATGGGTGGCTCGGCAACTTCGGCGGCGGCAGGGATAGTCATGAATCTGCTACGAGGCGTGGCAGTGTGAGCAACAGCTGTTCTGGCCCGGCAACTGGCTAGGCTGGAGCTTCGGTGCATGCCATCTACCGCGAGCGAGGCCAGCGCTGGGAAGAGGCGTGGCTCACCTACTTAAGGACACTGGGAGGCGGAAGCTCCCAGCGCTGACTTCGCGTCAAACAGACTTTGCTAACGGTCCTGCTTATTGACCGTTTTGCTGCTGCATGACGTCATTGTGTGACATCATAAACCCAGTTTCTTACATCACAGGTGTGATGTTTTCCTCTGGTGTCTGTCTGAAGCTTAGATGCTCTGAGAAAGGGTCTCCAACCTTGGCAACTTTAAGCCTGGCGGCCTTCAACTCTCAGAATTCCCAGGGTAATTCAGGGAGTGGACGTCCGCCAGGCTTAAAGTTGCCTAGGTTGGAGACCCCTGTTCTAGAAAACTGGCTGGGGGGATTCTGGGAGTTGACGTCCACACACCTTCAAGCTGTCAAGATGGAGAAACACCGCTCCGAAGCACTCTCTGTTACTTTATTGTGTTGGGAACTCTCTTACTTGTTGCTGTGTTGCCCCGTCCTATGAAGGAAAACATTGAGTGTTGCTCGTAGGTCCTCGCTGATTTTTTCCTGCCGGGATAAGCAAAGTTGGGGAACAACAATTAATCCAAATTAAATCCCATCCTTGCTCTTCATTCCCACACGCATCTCTCTCCACTTGTTCTTATGCTGGCTTTCTAAAGTTTTCAAGCCAGTGAGGATATTGGATGATTTTTAAAAAAAACAAAAACTGCTGATGCTACCTAGTTTGAGTAATGAAACATCTGCAAAAAACTAACCAAACAAACCACCAATCAAGCTCAGAGACAATCAAGGACTTTTCATTTCAACCCTGAGCTACAAATATTCTCCTTTATTAAGGCTTTGCATATTCAGGTCTTCCAATCTCTCCCATAATCAGTTCTTGCCATCCTGCCCTCCCCATCTCTACTCCATGACTAACCTGCTTAGAAAAACTAACTTGAATCATTTGGAGTGTCTTAATTACGCTGAGCGGAAGGGTGTGGGTAATTAAGTAGTAAAGTTAAAGGTTCCCCTCGTTAGTCGTTCCTGACTCTAGGGGGCGCTGCTCATCTCTGTTCCAAAGGCAGTGCTGCCCGAAGACGTCTCCGTGGTCATGTGGCCGGCACGACTCAACTCCCGAAGGCGCACGGGATGCTGTTCCCTTCCCACCAAAGGTGTTTCCTATTTTTCTACTTGCATTTTTTAATGTGCTTTCGGACTGCTAGGTTGGCAGAAGCTGGGACAAGTCACGGGAGCTCCCTCCGTTATGCGGTGCTAGGGATTTGAACTGCCGATCTTTCTGATCGACAGAATCAGGGGTGCTTTTACAAACTGCAATATATTACTGTGTTTCCCTGAAAATACAACCTGCTCAGAAAGTAAGGCCTAGCTTGATTTTTACACATGCCCTCAATATAAGCCCCAACCCCAAAATAAGCCCTAATTAAGACTCTGCCCACTCCAGGGGGCACGGGTAAAAATTAAGCTAGGGTGGGGATGGGCAGGGGGCGGAGCTGCCCTACTACTTACCTTCGGATAGTTGCAGCCAGGCCTCACACATCTCGGCCCATTTCTTTTGCTGCAGCCGGCAAGGCTTCCCTGAAGGCCTCTGTAGCCGATAAGAGAACTCCAGATTTATCCGGAGCTCTGTTATTGGCTGCAGAGGCCTTCAGGAAAGTCTTGCTGGACGAAGTTCCTGAAGGCCTCTGATAGTGAAGAAGAAGCCGGGGGCGATGCGCGCAAGTGAGGTGGCAAAAAAATAATAAGAGAGGGTCTTATTTTCGGGAAACACGGGTATTAACTATCAAATCAAAATGAAAAAGCTTTTGACCGGCCCAGTTGTAACCAGGAATGAGTGTGCAAACGAGAGAACGAGTGCTTACCGTTGCTCTTTTACGCAGAAATGCGTCGGCTTCATCCACAAACAGCAAGAGTCTGGAAAGGGAAAAGAGATATATGCTGAACGTAACTGAAAACCACGGCAAGGAGCTGAAGATTTTGGCTGGATAGGCTTCCTAGGTATAGATAAATTTGGGAGTCTGATTGTGAAATTCAGGCTGAAGCCTTCCTCCCTGAATTTTAGGCCACAAACAAGAGATTGGCTAAGGGCTGGTGAAATCTGGCTCCATAAACATTGCTATAAAGAAGTTTAGGTTTAGGTTTTATTGGTTTTGTATGCCGCCCACTCCCGAAGGACTCCGGGCGGCTTACAATAAAAAGGGAAAGGGGATAAATAAGACAATACAAAAAATAAAATACCACAACATTCACAATTAAAGTGGGGCTAGATACTCCAACAGCCCCAGCCTGCCGGAACAGCCAGAACTTAGTAGCATTACGGAAGGCCGGGAGGGTAGTAAGGGTCCGGATCTCGGCGGGGAGCTCGTTCCAGAGGGCTGGAGCTGCAACAGAGAAGGCCCTCCCCCGGGGGGTCGCCAGCCGGCATTGGCTGGCAGATGGAATCCGGAGGAGGCCTAGTCTGTGCGATCGAATCGGTCTTCTAAAATGACTGGAAATTTTTTGGCACATTTAAAAAAAATATTTTCAACCTACTTAATG